TTTGCTGCAGGCAACTGGACTTCATGTTTATCGATCATGATGAAATCGATTTTGTTCTTCGTCACCGCGTTATTCGTGATCCACATTCATCTTCTGTCGGTCCTCTTCTTGAACTAAGCGTGGCCAAAGTACTGATGTTTCGTTTCTCCATGGTGAATGGCCGATCTCCCCACTCACTCGTTTTCCGGTGCTGTACATACCGACAAATTTTTCATCGGCTCTTTTCGTCCAACCTTGGCACTGAAATTTGTCGTGAGCAAGGTATTCCCGGACTTTTGGACCAATGCCTCTGCTTCTTCTAGTTCTTGATGGAATTCCTCCACTTCCTCCTCACCAGCTATAGTTTTTGGAGCGTGGATTTAGACAATCTTGAATCATTTTCTTATTGAGGTTGAAACCCAGCACAGCACTCATTGCATGAGACGATTCTGAAGGAAGAGCATTTGCTGGCTACAAATCCGATTCCTCATATGTTCTTCACGCCCTCTCCTCTACCTAGCCTAATCGAAATACCAGTAATCTTTCCAGATGCCATTCATAATCTTCATCGTCGTGTCTCGCAGAGACCAGAGACGTTGCAGGCCATATCTTACCCTTCCTCTGTTAGATAGCTTAATGTTTCTTCCCTCGCTAATGTTGGTGCAGCAATTGTAGGTGCAAACGGCGAAAGAAGTCCGGGTCCGTTTACCACACGACGGTCTTTCACCTGGGTTACTTAATAGCCTCTCGTCAGCCGAACATCTAACCATCGCCATGGAACGGGTCGAGAGACGCCTAGGGCGCTGAGGTCCATTTATTACTGTTGGCATAGCGATGAAGTTTTGTCACTGGTTGACAGGTCTGACGGTTGCCTGGGGAATTTCGTACAGGCTGGTTCCCTAATTCTGTCCGGCATTTGATCGAAGTTGTTTTTATTAGCCTTTGACGAACCGACGTCTAACTATAAGCAGGGGTGGCATTGGCGGTTTTTACTTTAAAGGGCGACTAGCTTCCGCCCAGATATTAGACTGTCATTGATATTTTGACTTGTTCTCTGTGGGTTGAATCTCATGAGCTCGAATCCAGCGCCACACCCTGGTCGTCTCATCGCGGCCTGTAAAATCACAGCCAATCTCCATGTTTGCTGCTGTTTCCCCTCGCCGCATACCACTGATGCGTCAGAGTACCAGCAGCTAATCAAACAGGAATAATATAAACAAGTGATGCATTTTACCTTCCAATTTGATCTTTGAACCGTGCAAAATATTGCTGCAAATATTCATTTCCCTGAATGTTAGATTTTACATCTGTCCTATGACATGAATTTTTAAATTTTCCGGCTATGTTTTGTCTGCCGGCATGGTGATTCATCAGGTTTCTAGGGTTTTATAACCAGGCCTGACATGAAGGTACAATGACGCTGAAAAGCCATCACCTTTCGAGCAACTAGTCGCTGCCGAACTACGATAATATAGAACGGATCATTATTATGCTTAAATCGGTATCATTCTTTCATTAGCGAGGGAACGGAGGGGAGGGTGAGTCTAAGACAAATCAGCAATATTGTCAAAGATTAACATGGTACAGAGTATTATGTATCAATCCTCCTCGGCCTCCATTGAATATGAGAAATTCAAGGCTAACGAGGCGCAAGAGCAGGGGCAGTGTAACCAGCTGTGAAACATAGAAAACCATAGAGGCATCTCCTTTTGAAAACTAATTTTATGGATTTATTTAATGTGAATATGCTGCCTGAAGATTTTCGTGTACATCATGGGTCAAAGATATGATTTTAAAGCTGCGGTTTTATATTCATTTGGCATAACATTTGAGAAAGAGCGATGTAGATTTATACTGAGTGTTGATTAATTAATTACATTAATGGAGCACGAAATTCGCCCCATTTTGCTTCCGAAGATTGACTTTTTCCATCTTGCTTTTATACTGTTGCCGTTTTCTTCTACACAACCAGCTTAGTGAAACTGTGAAACTTACAGTGATACTGTCGAATACATGCGCTCCACATTGCATGCGTCGTTGAGATTTTCACTTTGAGCCGTTTGCATTAGTACCTGTCTGGTTTGTGATGTCCAAAGCGGCTTTGCAACAATTTTGTTATATGGCTTAGGTTATTGCATCGTAGAAGGCAATATTTTTCTTTTGAAATAGATCTGTCTCTAACTTATTCCTCCATGTTGCATGCTGGCGCTTGGTCGATGACTGCCATGTTTCAACCGCCCGCCCCCCTCTGACCGGCCACGAGAAGCCACGGCGGGGGCAAATGATTTACGCTCACTCAGTGTGTGTAACAGAGTCAGCTTTTTTCACTTAACCCTTAAATCTACTGAAGACACCTGTTCCGAGAGGAAAATATTGCGATTTCTTGCTTGGTTCCATCATTTAACATTCATCATGCCTTGAAGCCAATGCTGCAGTATGCAGTTCGGCCATCGTTCTTGATTCTTGTTTTATTCAAACAATTGTCTTCAATCCGGATGACAACAACTACCCGACCGAGGCGGGGTACAAGCGAGTTATTGTGGAAAGGGTTATTCGTTTCTCAGGCCAAATATTGTGCAGCGATGGAGACGGATCAGTTATCTTATCTAACTCTGTATACATGATATGCCGCTGGGAATGATGGAGCTTAAATATTAAATATTTCAATCTCCTCAACCTTCACCTCCTTGTTGCACTTGCTAATGAGCTGAACCAGATCAGCACTTTATACCTTCGACTTCCGGGCTTCGAGGTATGGGCCGGGTTTCATAGGTGCCTTGCATAGCCGCCAGGTGACGGAGCCAGCTTCCAGTACTAGTGACCAGGACAATGTCATCTGTGCATTCCAAGTCAATAAGATGTGCAGCCAAATATCGTGAACTGCGTTTTCTATTTATAATGAGACCTTCGTCTCTCTTTCATAGGAGAAAGTTGAGGACAATATTGAATGGCGAAGACATAGGTACACCGATTCGCTTTGACCCGCCGGATGACTGTTTAAATCAGCAAAGTTGTCATCTGAAGATAAAATAAATAGAAACTTTCAAGACTATAAGTACACCGAAAGCCTAGGTTTATGTCATCATTTTCCCACAGTTCGTGTGCTTGCTGAACAAGAACGGAAATGTTACCAGGATTATGATGGAAGCCAGCAAATAAAGTGGTTACACAAAAAATTGTCAGACCTATGTTTGTGAAATTGTTCTTTCTACAGTGTTGTAACCGCTGTTTTATGCGAAAAGTATAAGAAGTCCAATAGTATGGCTACTGTCAAAGGCCTGAAACGTGGCACAATTTCTGGTACGGCAGATTCAAACCATTAAACTCATTTACCTGTATTATCGAGGTAATTTGAATGATCTGCATGAGCACACTCATCCTTACAAAAATTTAGTGTTACTTTGAGGCACTGGAACAGATTCGAGTGACGTGTATTATGCATGCTATTTATTCAACATCTGCCATACTGGTATAATGAGTGACAAAATAATGTCCGTCTTACATCACGTTATCCAATCAGGTAAATAAACTGTTATACACATACTTCCACTGATTTACTCTGCGTATTTAGCACCGACCTGTTGCTGCTAGAAACAGAAGGACCAAATACGCTGATAATGGCTTTAGAATTTCAGTGAATGCTATGAATCGATATACGTCGCAACGTTTATCAGCTACGGCCATACATGTTTAAAACGCATATAATTTTGGACCTTCTGAAGCATTTATTTGTCTATCCCTTTAAGCTCACCGCAATGCGTGCTTTTATTAGAATATGCTTGCTCAACAAAGGCAGTAGTAAAAGTCAATTTATTGAATTATACATATTGATGAAACAACAATACGTAGATAAGTCAACATAATGAAAATAAAGTACACCTAATATCCACTTTCTAAGCATCTTTCGGCGTCACTTCTAGTTGCATAACCTGGACACCAAGGTCGAATGAGGATACGACATAAAGAACTTTTGAAGTCTTTGCTCATCATGCAATAAATAAACAATTTCCAAGCACCACTTGCAATTGCAAGCCACATCAAACTGAAATGAAGGTTTGGCAGTTGTACTTTGAACTGAATAAAAACTTCATATGCTCTTAAAGACAAAACGGGCAGCCAGCTAATAGTAAATGAGATAATGACAAAAAAGGTAGTAATAAAAGAATGGTCGTTTTCCAGTTGTGTTTTCTGACTGTCCTCCAAATTCTCAGGATGCCTGAGATTGCTGAAAATGTAGCTGTACGTGTAGGTGATGCACACGAAGCTGGGCACAAACACCAGCATACCTATTGCAATTGTGTAAGGCATCATTTCGCTCCAGTCTAAACTGCATAGAAAGGTCGTTTCAATAAAATGGGACGGCATGTCGCTGAAAAGGATTGGGCAGCATAACAGCGCTGAGGTTACCCAGCTAAAAATGATCCAGCACTTGCAACGAGTAAACGTTTGCTCCACTTCGTAGCGAGTCGGCCTTGCCAGCGCAATGTGTCGATCGACACCGATCCACATGAATATATAGACAACGCTACCGATTAGCACAAGCTCGGTGTAAGTCTCGAACTTGCAAACAGCCGACTTCAGGTCTGCCTTCCAAGACTCGTCCAGCGCACCGTATATCGAAACCGGTGTCACCAGGGTGCCACACAGCAAGTCCGATATGGCAAGTGACGTCATGTAATATCCAATGATGTTCCTCTGCGACTCGGACGTTGCTATGACGGTTATTGTCAACAGACTGGTCAAAATCAGCAGAATCGTCACCAGTAAAATAACGCTGACGTAGATCATTTTCTCCGGAGTAACCGGAAGACCGAAAAATGACAACAACAGGATGCTACCGCTGGCGTCCGTCACCTCTGAGATGTCATTCAGTGAACCCTGGCGTTCTGCCTCTGCACTGCGGTACGTTTTCTCGTCGAGGAGCGAACGAGACTGACCGCCGCTGCTGTCCGGATCCCATAATTGTTCGATCGTGCTAGTTTCCACGCTTATTATTCGAATCACGTTCAGCACTGAAGCAGATCGGTTAGAAGATGGAAACCTCCATTCTTCCAACCATGGAACTTTCGTGCTTTTCATCTGGTCCTGAAACAAAAAGAAGATGAAACTGAACGACGGCACTTGGCATTTCAAGCAGCAAAGTTATGTTAATCGCAAAGCGGGCACATTCTTGCAAAAAAGTGGTCAAAATGATGTTTCCGCTTTCTGACTCCCTAAGTAGCAGAGTAACGGACTAAGGCTCTAGGCACAGAAGCTGACTTTGTATAACTTTCCCATGTCTTCCGTCATGATGTATCAAACAGATCGCCAAGCTGCTGATTCCCCGAGTAATGCAAAATCGTCGAGAACATGATCTCTCGTTTCAAAGGACTAAACTGAATCTCTTATAGAGAGAAATTCGTTTTTAAGACAAAGATCCCTCTCCTCTGGCGGAATCGAGCCCGGCACATCCAGAGTTCGAAACTGACCTCTCAGTCATTGTCAAACCACGCCATCCGCATGAAGAGACCCTCTGGATATGTTTTCACCATCTTTGTTCTCATGTTTTCAGGACGATAAATAAAACAGGGTTTGTACTTAATGTCACCCTTCGCATTTGCTCCATGAGCAACTGCGAGATGCCTCTCAGAGACTATGAAGCATTAAGTCATACAGCATCCGTCCGTTTGCCTGAGATTTAGGGAAATTGTGAGCAATTTTTTAAAACTAAGTCAAATTTCACAAAAATTAAACACTGCCAGATTAGAGATATAATTGCAATCTCATCCATGATCTTCTTAAATTGTTCCGTACATCGTGCTGCAACTTCAAAATCAGCATTGGCAACGCCAGCAGTCATTTTAAGAAAATAGAAATTATAGCATTTGTGAAAATGACAGTGCAACCCATGACTCGCAACAAACGCTTCAATCTTACGTGGAGTTGCGCACTCCAAGCGGCAAGCTAATCACTTACTTTAAAGGGTAGTCAAAAATCTTAGTGCCTTCTCCTGAATGACGCTCTCTGAAAGGGTGCAATGAATTGCATTTTGTTCTTCGATCCATACATTCAATCACTTCGCTGTTTTTTCCATCAGCGTGCTTCCAGTTCTAAGATTATTGCAGCAAACATCTATCAACACTGAATAATGTGACATGTTCCTTAACTCTGCCTCATTCCTTACAAGTGTAGCAGTGGTCTAGTCAGAAAGACGAATAACGTTTGCAATGACTGGACTCTCCTCTCACTTTTACTTTCGCTTCACTACATTAATTCTCATTTCCACGCTTCTTACCTTCCTTTTCTTCATCGAGAAGGCTACGATAATATCAGTGAGACGTTTGAAGATATGCTGATGAATGGAATCGAAATACGCAATAATGCATGAGGTAGTAAACGTCGTTGTAGATGTCTCGCATGATGTCATAAAACTGCGCTACGAAAGCAGCCGTTCATTGAAAACGGTTGGTGTTTGAGCAGGTAGTTTGAGTTGCGGAGACAAGGAAGTGAAATTCGACACGTTCATTTTAAGCTGGATTTAATTTAACGAACTCCCGGTAGACGAATCGTGACAGTATAATAGTTGCGACTTATTCCTTACAATTTCTTCCTCAATTAATAAAAACAACTGTTGTAAAGAACAATTCGCTGGAAAACCGTTGTTCAGCTTATATCGCACATGCCCAGCTGTCTCTGAAACAAGTAAGTAAACACAGGCAGAATAGGTTGGGTAGCACCGGTATGTATATAAACCGATGTCACAACAAAATTAATAAATAAAGTAAACAAGTCATTTTTGTTTATACTAAGAACATATATGATTAGCAATTCCCTTCGGCAATTGCCTCTGCCATATCACGTCTCTATTGGTTCAATGTTTTTTTTCTCAGATGGGCCCATGCATATCAGCCTGAAATGCTCTGCGGAATGTTATTCAAACAGCACTCATCGAAACTCAGTCCAGGTTAGAAGAAGCTAAAGAAATTTCATCTGATTGACTGAACTACTGATATCGATTAGGTTATTGATCCATACCATGTGATAATCATCTGGCAAGAAGAGGCGACTATGGATTGCCATCCAGTGCCGCCTTTACTTCACGAATATCTACAGTTTTCTGAACGAATATGTGGCCTAATTCAAACGCAAGGTATTCAGCAGCACCCATTAATGG